GTTCCGGGGGTGGGCGGGGATGTCACACAACAAGCTGACATCACCCAGAAGGGACCTCAGTGGGTTGGGAGTGACGGTCTGCTCTTTGGGCAAAACTCTATGGTAAAAACAGCCTCAAACCACAGAGTTTTGCCCCAAAAGCAGAGCGTTCCCCACCCCGACATCACCGATGTGCTGATGTCACTTCCCGGTAACATCAGTGCATTGCGCATGGGGGGAATTTCCCCCAGACAGCCAGCTAGCCAGTGGCAAGCAGCAGGAGGAGGAGGAGAAGAGGAGGAGGAGATTGGATTTATACCCCGCCCTTCACTACCCAAAGGAGTCTCAGAGCGCCTTACAATCTCCTTTCCCTTCCCCTCCCCACAACAGGCACCCTGTGAGGCAGGTGGGGCTGAGAGAGCTCTTTCGGGGACCACTCCTGAGGGAAGAGCTCTGAGAGAACTTGTGACTGGCCCAAGGTCACACCAGCAGCTGCATGTGGAGGAGGAGTGGGGAATCAAACCCGGTTCTCCCTGATTAGAGTCCGCGCTCCTATCCACTACACCCAACTGGCTCTCAAAAAGAGAGTCCGAAAGCAATGGCAGCCAATTCCACATCGCATCTCAGCATCTTGGAAGCAGCTGGCATGGGAGGGGGAGTGTCTCTGCCCATCTGGACACCTGGAAAATGCCCATTTTTACGCTCCCACAGAACTGGCCAGGAAGCGAACAGGCAGGATATAAGAAAGGGCACACTGAATTTTGTGTAAAGAAGAAGAGATTGGATTTATACCCCACCCTTCACTCGGGAGTTTCGGAGCGGTTTACACTCTCCTTTCCCTTCCCCTCCCCACAACAGACTCCCTGTGAGGTCAGTGGGGCTGAGAGAGCTCTCTCGAGAACTGCTCCTGAGAGAACAGCTCTGAAACAACTTGTGACTCGCCCAAGGTCACTCCAGCAGCTGCACGTGGAGGAGTGGGGAATCAAACCCAGTTCTCCCAGATTAGAGCCCGCACTCCTAACCACCACACCAAACAGGCACCGAAAAAGTAGCCATTCCTGTGCTCAACCATAAAGCTGGCGGAACGTCTCTGCCTTTCAAGCCCTGCGGAAGTGCGTTAGGTCCCACAGGGGACGGATGTCATTTGGCAGACAGTTCACCAGGTCGCAGTCAGGGCCAAAAAAGCCCTGGCTCTGGGTGAGAACAGCCAGATGTTTTTCAGGTCAGGGATCACCAGTAGATTTTCCTCAGCTGAGCGTAACGCTCTTTGGGGGGGGTTATGCGGGTAGCCATCCCTGTATGGCCCCGCTAGTGCACTGGGTGCACATCCGACGCTAGATGTGATGCGCAAGCTGTCTTTCCAGAAAGTTCCCCCACCCCACCCCGTTCCTCTTCTCACTGAAGGATCGCCTGATAAGATGGTGAGAAACGCCATCTTATCAGGTTTTTTTCGGGGGGGAACGGAAATGTTCGGAAAAATTGAAAAAAAAATGCTACATTAGCATTTCTTTTGTCTTTTCTAGATTGAAAGTCATTCTGTTACTTTAGGAACATAAAATATGACTATGGACATTTTTATTTGGCATGAAATTATCACAACTAGCATATTAAAAATATAGTGTATCCAAACAATTATTACAAACAGAATACCCACCCACATGCAAAAACAAAACTGAAACCTTTTTATTTTCTTCTGACAATAGCACCTCCTAAAGGAAGAAATGCATCTTGTTCTTGCATTGGAGAGTTCAGTTTGTAACCTAGGACTTGCTTGTCCTCAGTGCACAGAAATTAGATCAATCTGATACCATATATATATATTTTAGAAACAATTTGGAAAATATTTAAACACCTTGTCTTAAAATATTTTATTCATCATGTTAAAATAAAACGTTCCATAATCATTTTTTTTCTTTTCTTTTTTCAATTTTTCGGAAAAAAACAAAACATCTTCAGGAAAAAAACGGGAAAAAACTGTTTCCCCCCGAATTTTTTCGGTTTTTTTCCCGGGCCTTCACATCTCTACCCCCCCCCCCCAGACTCCCACCCCCCTCCCTACAATACCGATCACCGCTTACCATCTGCAAGGATCCTGGCGTTTTGCTGCAGCAAGCAAGCCAGGTGTCGGCTCAGCAACATCAGTGCCATTTTATTCTTTGCTCTGCTTCAGAACAAACAAGCGCGGATCCTTCTGTCTCGGCCGATGACCTGGGAAAGAGAGGAGGGAATCAGAAATTCATCGTCTTCTGGCCAGCGCACTACAAGAACAGGTTTCTAACTCTCGAGTTTGGGTGTGTTTTATTCATTCATTCCTATGAATGTTGTCACCCACTGGAGTTCTGGTCCCTCTGGTGGGCCTCCTGATGGCCCCTATATGACACAGAGTCCTGGACTGAATGGGCCATTGACCTGATCCAACATGGCTTCTCTTATGTTTTTATATCTGGGGCAGGGATGCTCTGTCTCCTTGGTGCCTGGAGGGCCCACAATGGGAGGGCTTCTGGAGTTCTGGCCCCGCTGGTGGACCTCCTGATGGCCCCTGGGTTTGGGCCACTGTGTGGACTGGATGGGCCCTTGGCCTGATCTAACATGGCTTCTCTGATGTTGTTATGTCTGGGGCAGTAATGCTCTGTCTTCTTGGTGCTTCGGGGACCACAGTGGGAGGGCTTCTGGAGTTCTGGCCCTGCTGGTGGACCTCCTGATGGCCCCTGGGTTTGGGCCACTGTGTGGCACAGTGTTGGACTGGATGGGCCACTGGCCTGATCCAACATGGCTTCTCTTCTGTTCTTGTTCTCTTATGGCTTCTCTTATGTTCTCACACATTTTTGTGTTCGCTCAGGAAGGAGGGCTCCAGAGCAAACGAATTTGTGCAATGGCCAGATGGCTCGCTCACAACTTTAATACCAGTAGCTCACAAAGTAGGATTGTTGCTCCAGGACTCCACAGCTTAGAGGGAGCATTGCCCCCCCCCACTGAAAAATCTCTCCCCCAAGGGCATTATCATTGGACCTGGTGACCCCACCTTAATGGCATTATACCCCACCGAAGTCTGTCCCCTCCCCAAACCCGGCCCACCTCACGGTCCACTTCCCCAATCTCCGGGTATTTCCAAACCTGGAGTTGGCAACCTCACATAAGGGCATATCAGGCACAGGCATTTTTAACTCTGTCTCTGTAGCCGCTTAACTGCCATGGGCAGTTCCCCTCAAAGAATTCTGGGAACTGTCGTTGAATGAAGGTGCCGAGAATTCTCTCACGTCCCTTCCAGAACCACAGTCCCCAGGATGCTGAGAGGAGCCGTTTCTGAAACGACGTCCATTATACAAAATCAAGAGCATGTATAAGAGCGTAAGAGAAGCCATGTTGGATCAGGCCAATGGCCCATCCCGTCCAACACTGTGTCATACAGGGACCAA